CTCTGGGTAGATCCCAGCTGTGTGTCTTCCATATGTCTATATTGGTAGATTCGATGACATACGGGCTAATTTAATATCCACCCCCAGACCCCCTCCCCCCTCCATCTTCCCATCCATCCACCACCTGTCCTGTCTCAGGAGACCCCGGAGAGAAAAAATGCTTTTTCATTTCCATCTCCATTCCTGCCTCTGGCCGCGCCCCTCCCCCCCCCCCCCCCCCCCCACGCTCTCCCCCCCCCCCCCCCCCCCCGGGGCGCGGTCACACCGATGGGTGCCTCATCCCGTCCCTCTCATTTGTACAAGTTGTCATCTCCACTTAGTGTGAGAGAGGAAGACACTTCTATGTGACAGCGATATCCGCTCTCCGCTCCTCCACTCCATCATCCATCTTCTGCTCATTTCTGGATGATTTTCTCGCCATTAACGTTTTCCGCCATCTTCCCCTGACACCTCACACTCCTTCCATTAGTCTGACATCTTATTTCCCCGTGACTAATGTATCTCACTATATACGCTCTTTAAAGACATAATCGGGGCCGGGGGAGGGGGGCAAAATAGAGTCAGTGTGTCATTGTTCTGGACCCCCAAGTGTCAGGGTGTCATTGTTTCTGGACCCCCAAGTGACAGGGTGTCATTGTTCTGGACCTCCACGTTTTGGGGTGTAATTTTTCTGGTACCCCCAAGTGTCAGTGTGTCATTGTTCTGGACCCCAAAGTGTCAGTGTGTCATTGTTCTTGGACCCCCAAGTGTCAGTGTGTCCTTGTTCTGGGGCCCCCAAGTATCAGGGTGTCATTGTTCTGGACCCCCAAGTGTCAGGGTGTCATTGTTCTGGACCCCCAAATGTCAGGGTGTCATTGTTCTGGTACCCCCAAGTGTCATTGTGTCATTGTTCTGGACCCCCAAGTGTCAGTGTGCCATTGTTCTGGTACCCACAAGTGTCAGTGTGTAATTGTTCTGGGACCCCAAGTGTCAGGGTGTCATTATTATGGACCCCCAAGTGTCAGTGTGTCATTGTTTTGGACCCCCAAGTGTCAGTGTGTCATTGTTTTGGACCCCCAAATGTCAGGGTGTCATTGTTCTGGTACGTCAAGAGTCAGTGTGTCATTATTAGAGACCCCCAAGAGTCAGGGTGTCATTGTTCTGGTACCCCCAAGTGTCAGGGTGTTGTTGTTCTGGACCCCCAACTGTCAGGGTGTCATTGTTATGCACCACCAAGTGTCAGTGTGTCATTGTTCTGGACCTCCAAGTGTCAGTGTGTCATTGTTCTGGTACCCCCAAGTGTCAGGGTGTCATTGTTCTGGGGCCCCCAAGTGTCAGTGTGTCATTGTTCTGGGGCCCCCAAGTATCAGTGTGTCATTGTTCTGGACCCCCAGTTGTCAGGATGTCATTGTTCTGGACCACCACGTGTCAGGGTGTCATTGTTCTGGACCCCCAATTGTCAGTGTGTCATTGTTCTGGACCCCCAAGTGTCAGGGTGTCCTTGTTCTGGGACCCCCAAGTGTCAGTGTGTCAATGTTCTGGACCCCATAGGATATCATTTCACATTTGCTGGACAAGGCAGTTGCTTTCCATATCTGTCAGATGACAAAGTGCAGTCTAGTTGTATCTATCGGGTTGTGGCCTAGAGCCGTTCTATGTGCCATCACAGTGTGAGTGCTGATTATGATATTTTTGGTATATTTATGGAATTTGGTGAGATGTGTATTATGCGGCACACTGTCTCTCCAGCTTCAGTGAGAAGACAATTACATGACATCCATAACAGGAATCTTCAAAGACCCAGGAAACCTACTTGCCCCTATAGGCCATACCCAACTCCGCAATAGAAATCCATAAGACCTCTTCCCTTGTTGTACAGGAGATGCTAATACCCAAACCCAGGACCAGGGCCGGACTGACCATTTGGGAACTCTGGTCCTGCCTGAGGGCCCAGGGTCAGTAGGGGGCCCCATGAGATGCCCCTGGTACCTTTCATAGGCTTTTTTGGGTGTGTTTTGAGTGTGGGCGGGAGGTCCTTGGCTATTGATGAATAGTTGCATAGTTCATCTGGTTGAAAAAAGACACATGTCCATCCAGTTCAACCAATGATAGTGTGACCTGCTCCCTTGTAACAGTGTTCTAGCCAAACAGCCAATGGCTAGACCTTAGCGCTTGACTGAGGCAGGGATGTACCCACCACAGGTGATGTCCCTCTCTCAGTCAACTGGTATTTTGCCACTAAACATACATCCTAGAATGAATGACCCTCAACCTCCTTTGCTGACAAAGAATGGAACCAACCCTGATGTACAGTACATTGGTGTCTATGAAGACATACCCTGTTCTTTAGGCAGGAGGTCCTCATTTATGAAAGAATAGTTGCATAGTTCATCTGGTTGAAAGAAGACACGTCCATCCAGTTCAACCAATGATAGTGTGACCTGCTCCCTTGTAACAGTGTTCTGGCCTAACAGCCAATGGCTAGACCTGAGTGCTTGACTGAGGCAGGGATGTCACCACCACAGGTGATGTCCCTCTTTCAGTCAAGTGGCCCTTTGTCACAAAACATACAATACGTCCTAGATAGAATGACTCTTGACCTCCTTTGCTGACAAAGAATAGAACCAACCCAAACGTACAGTACGTTAGTGTCTATGAAAACATACCCTGTTCCTTAGGCAGGAGGCCCTTATTTATTGATGAATAGTTACAGAGTACATTGTTTGTCTGGTTGAATGATGACACATGTTCATCCAGTTCAACAGATAGTGTGACCTGCTCCCTTGTAACAGTGTTCTGGCCTAACAGCCAATGGCTAGACCTGGGCACTTGAGTGAAGTAGGGACGTCACCACCACAGGTGATTTCCATATCTCAGTCAAAGAATGGAACCAACCCAAAAGTACAGTACATTAGTGTCTATGAAAACATACCCTGTTCCTTATGCAGGAGGTCCTTATTTATTGATGAATAGTACATTGTTCGTCTGGTTGGATGAAGACACAAGTTCATCCAGTTCAACAGATAGTATGACCTGCTTCCTTGTAACAGTGTTCTGGCCCAACAGCCAATGGCTAGACCTGGGCACTTGAGTGAGGCAGGGATGTCCCCACCACTTTGCCACAAAACATACAGTATGTCCTAGAATGAATGACCCTCAACCTCCTTTGCTGACAAAGATTGGAACCAACCTAGATGTACAGTACATTGGTGTCTATGAAGACATACCCTGTTCCTTAGGCAGGAGGTCCTCATTTATGAAAGAATAGTTGCATAGTTCATCTGCTTGAAAGAAGACATGTCCATCCAGTTCAACCAATGATAGTGTGACCTACTCCCTTGTAACAGTGTTCTGGCCTAACAGCCAATTGCTAGACCTGAGTACTTGACTGAGGCAGGGATGTCACCACCACAGGTGATGTCCCTCTTTCAGTCAAGTATCCCTTTGCCACAATACATACAATACGTCCTAGATAGAATGACTCTTGACCTCCTTTGCTGACAAAGAATGGAACCAACCCAGATGTACAGTACATTAGTGTCTATGAAAACATACCCTGTTCCTTATGCAGGAGGCCCTTATTTATTGATGAATAGTTACATAGTACATTGTTCATCTGGTTGAATGATGACACATGTTCATCCAGTTCAACAGATAGTGTGACCTGCTCCCTTGTAACAGTGTTCTGGCCTAACAGCCAATGGCTAGACCTGGGCACTTGAGTGAAGTAGGGACGTCACCACCACAGGTGATTTCCATATCTCAGTCAAGTGGCCCTTTGCCACAAAACATACATCCTAGAATGAATGACCCTCAACCTCCTTTGCTGACAAAGAATGGAACCAACCCAAACGTACAGTACATTGGTGTCTATGAAAACATACTCTGTTCCTTAGGCAGGAGGCCCTTATTTATTGATGAATAGTACATTGTTCGTCTGGTTGAATGAAGACACAAGTTCATCCAGTTCAACAGATAATGTGACCTGCTCCCTTGTAACAGTGTTCTGGCCCAACAGCCAATGGCTAGACCTGGGCGCTTGACTGAAGCAGGAACATCATCACCACCACTGCCTCAGTCAACTGGCCCTTTACTAAGGCAAGGTCTTGCATGGGCAAGGTGACTGCATCTCTTTAAAGTGACAACAGAGTCAAGTTACTTGGTGAAATTAGTTACAGGTAGAGCCCAGTATTGGTATTGTCTTTATCTGGCCTCCTGGCAGAATAATTAGAGTCAGGGGCGGACTGACCATTTAGAAACTCGGGCACTGCCCGAGGGCCTGGGGTCGGTAGGGGGCCCCATGAGATGCCTCCGGTACCTTTTTCATAGGCTTTTTTGAGTTTTGGCAAGGACACAGGGGCCCCATGATCCCCTATTGGCCGGGGGCCCCATGAGTTGTCAGTCCACCCCTGATTAGAGTGTAAGCTTTTTTGGATGTGTCAATTCATTTACTGGACAAAAGTCATCAGTGTCTGCTATTTTCTTGGCGTAAAAAAAAAAAAACAATAATAACGGTATATTTTCCATGCAATGAGCAATCTGCTGTTTATTGGCTTCCCTGTTTACGAGTTCCTAATCAAGTTGTTTTTTCCTGTAGCTTTATTCCTTTTTATGTTGTTTTGCCTCCTATGTACTATGCTCCCATTCCATTAAATTCCTTTTTTTTTCATGTTGGCAGAGTTCCCTCCGTAGCCATTAAGAAACCTTTTCTATAATTTCTCCGTTTCTCTTCGTTCCAGGGGGACCATCAAGAACGAGAGCACAGCGAAGGGAAATAAAAGTTAATCTCAGCTGAACACTTTTTATGAGTTAAATATTTCTCTTAAGTGCGTTTTCCAAGCTGAAAAACAAAAAAAAAAAAAATCAGCCACGGCTTGCTGGGATCGACGCCTTTCGCAGCTTGTCCACACCGCGAGGTTTGTTTCATGACATCCAGAGGGGAGCAACTTTTCAGAAGCACTTTATAGAAGGATTTTTATTTGGCTGTCGGAAGGATACGTGTTGGAACGTTCTGTAGAGGAATGATGCTGAACTCTGATCAGACAGAAATTCCGGCCCATTCGGAGACAGAGTCCGTGTTCAGCGACTGCGGCGGCGGGGGAGGACTCGGCGAGGCTGGAGGCATCAGCTTGTGCGGAGAAACCAGGATTTGTGAGGCCAGCGATGCCGTCAAAAGGGAGCTTCAGCACTTAAGTCGGGAAGAGAGGCGCCGTCGAAGGAGGGCGACGGCCAAATACCGCACGGCGCACGCTACCCGGGAGCGCATACGAGTGGAAGCATTCAACTTGGCCTTTGCAGAGCTGAGGAAGCTTCTTCCCACTCTGCCTCCTGACAAGAAACTGTCCAAAATTGAAATCCTTCGGCTAGCTATATGCTACATCTCCTATCTCAACCATGTTCTAGATGTTTGATGGGTTCGAAGTGCCCTGATTGGGCTACAACTTACCCTCTTCATTGGATGCTGCTGTATTCAGCTGTGGACTAAGATGCTAGGACAGAGATTTGTGGGACCAAATTTTTCCCTCTCTTGTGGATTTTTGTAGATCCCCCAATCTAGAATGTAAAGATCCTGCCTTTCAGAGACCACCTACCCTTTGTTTCTTCCATGCCTCCTCCAACCATCACCATACATACCCACAGGCATGGCTCTAAAAGTCCCACCTAAATCCTTATCATGGTTCTCATAAACCAACCATTTGGGTGGAAGCCTTCAAATGCCGAAGTCCTTAAATGCAAATGTTTTTGCTGTCAAGTGTTGCCTCCTTTTGTGACCAACCCAAATGTCTCTCCTTAAAGATTTCTCTTACCCTTTCTAGGATCAGGCAAAAGAAAATAGAAATTGCTGTATGATCAAGTAGCTTCACATGTTACCGGCTACATTTTGGTTACATTGCACTTTTACACCAAAAACTAGGGCCATAATGCCCACCAACACCTTCATACACATGGTTGAGAAGTTTCTGAATTTTATATACCATTTAGAGGAACTAGAGTCTTCTTAAGTCATGTCTACATGACTACTTCCAGCCTTTCAGCCTAAGCATTGGATGGACGGATCTTTAGCAAATTTGGCTGCACATCCAGATCACAAAGGAATTCAGCTGAAGGGCACCCTTCTTTGTCACGCAAGCAACAGAAGTGGTCAATATTCTTCTCACCAGCCTGCCAGTCAAGACGATTAGCTAAATTATTATCATATTAAGCCTAAAATAATCCAAGTTTCTCAAAATTCGAATGTGTAAACTAGAAGTCGCTGCGATTTCTTTCCATATCTTCTCCAGTTCCAATAGTTGTCCATATGGTCCTAAGGTCCAACATATGGCACTCATGTATAAAACATACAATACATCCTAGATAGATTGACCCTTGACCTCCTTTGCTGACAAAGAAGGAAATTAACCCAAATGTACATTACACTGGTGTCTGTGAAGACATACCCTGTTCTTTAGGCAGGAGGTCCTAATTTATTGATGAATAGTTTCAAATGTGCACTTTTCATAGGAAAATCAATATATAGATTATTAGGTCATTCTTCACTGAATGGTTACTAAGAAAATTTGGGTCTACGTTTACGAGTATGTATGTAGTTGGTCGTAGCTCTCTGTAGACCGGTTAGCTCTTTGTTGGTGGATCAACGAGACCGATGGATGATCCTTTAGCTTTTACTTCCAAGGTGACGATGTCCAATAAGCTCCACCATAGCCAAATTTCTATTCAACAAACTCGCTACAACAACTAATACTACCTACTCTAGTTAGTCAAGAAAGTGGAAAATTAGTAGTCTCTTAAATGTCCATCAACCCCATGGCCAAAGTTATTAACATCTTGTGATTTGTGTAGTAAAACAGTTTTAGGTGTAAATGACCAAATTTTTAAGCAGATCGTTTTACCAAATTAGGTTTATATTTTTTAGAATTTGGGGACCGTGAGTGTCTAAAAAATGATCCTTTTCAATGCCAAGCGAGAAAGGTTTCTTTTTCTCTCAATGGAAAAAGCGCATTGGAAAGTGATGGCCTTTTCTCAAAATTTGTCACAATGTTTCAACTTTCCATTTTGAGTTTTGCCGCTCCACAATTTGTAACTGACTTCCGACTCAAAAGGTTGAAAAGTTAATTATAGCATTAAGAGTAATCAGAAAATAATTTAGATAAAAAGGTTTATTATTATTTTTTTTATTCATATACCAGTTTTACTTAGTATCTTCAACGTTCGCTACTTCTGTTGAATTTCATGTTTACCCTCTTTGACAAGGTTTATGTGCCAGGAAATAATTTATTTATTTTATTAATTTATTTATATGTCATTTATTTATTTACTGTGTTGTGCACTTTTATGAGATAAAACAAATAATAAAGTAAAGTACACAAGGACTTGTGCGATGGCCCCAGAGCAAAGGAGACTGACAGGCCGCGTACATGTCCCACCTCCGTTCCCGTCGGTGAAAGCCTCTTTTGTAGCTACGTCTGACGACCTTTATTAAGCCTTGAATTGAAAAAAATGTAAATACTTTGAGTATGTTTTATGTGTTTAGAATGGATACAAACTATTTATGATTTCTTAAAAAATCTGAAGGATTCAATTAAAAAAAAAAAAGAAGATACATGTTTATGTGTTTTATTTTATCTTTGTCGTTCATTTTTCCATCACTATTTCCTTCTCTGTTTTCTCTCTCTCTCTTGTTCCTTCCTTCCTGCGCAACAAATTTGTTCCCTCTCTTCTATCTCTCTTTGTTTCCTTTCTTTTCCCTTCCCCACTATAATTCTTCATTCCCCTTAACTCTCTTTCCTTCCCTTCCTTCTAAATTTCTTTCTTGCCCTTCCTTCTATCCTTCCTTCCCTCTATCTCTCTTTCCTTCCCTTCCTTCTCTCCTTCCTTCTCTCCTTCCTTCCCTCTAACTCTCTTTCCTTCCCTTCTATCCTTCCTTCCCTTATCTCTCTTTCCTTCCCTTCCTTCCCTTCCTTCTAACTCTTCCCTCTAACTCCTTCCTTCCTTCTATCCTTCCTTCCCTCTAACTCTCTTTCCTTCCCTTCTATCCTTCCCTCTAACTCTTCCCTTCACTTCCTTCTATTTTTCCTTCCCTCCAACTCCCTTTCCTTCACTTCTATCCTTTCCTCTGTCTCTCTTTCCTTCTCTTCCTTTCATCCTTCCTTCCTTCACTCTAATTCTCTTTCCTTCACAAATGGAAGGAGCACCAGGCCAGAAGATAAGAGTCCAAATTCATTTAATGATGTTAGGTTAAAAGAACGCCAATGCGTTTTGGGGGTCAAAGGAACTCATCCATCATCAGTGCTTCAGTTAAAAATGAGAACTTTTAATGGACTCAAAGAAAGGCTTTCCTGTTGTACCTTGTGTAAAATCATAACAAAATAACAAAGTCCCAGCACCTCTTGGAAGCCTTTCTCTTTCTTTCTTTCCCTTCCTTCCTTCCTTCCTTCCTTCTTTCCTTCCTTCCTTCCTTCCTTCCTTTTCCTTTCCTTCCTTCCTTCCTTCCTTCCTTCCTTCCTTCCTTCCTTCCCTTCCCCCTCTACCTCTCTTTCCTTCACTTCCTTCTCTCCTTCCTTCCATCTAACTCTCCTTCCCTCCCTTCCTTTCATCCTTCCTTCCCTCTAACTCTCTTTTCTTCACTTCTATCCTTCCCTCTCTCTTTCCTTCACTTCCTTCTCTCCTTCCTTCCCTCTAACTCTTTCCTTCCCTTCCTTCTCTCTTTTCTACCCTCTAACTCTCTTTCCCTCCCTTCCTGTCATTCTTCTGTCCTTCCCTTTAACTTTCTTTCCTTCCCTTCCTTCTATCGCTCTTACCCTCCAAATCTCCTTTTCTTTTCCTTTCTTCCCCTCATTACTTCTCTTCTGTTTCCTTTCTCCTCTATTCTTTTTCTTTCCTTTAAACCCCTTCTTTTGCTTCCTTCCCTTAACTTCCCTTTCTCTTTATTCCTTCTTTCCTTCGGTTTTCTTCTGCTCTTTCTAATCCTACCTTTCCTTCCACCCATTGCTTCCCTCTCTGTATTCTTCTTCCTACCATTGTTTTCTTCCTTCACCTCTTTTTCCTTTCCTTCTTTCTTTCCTTCCCTTGCTTCCTTCCTTCTTGCCTTCCTTTCATCCCTTCCTTTTCTTGTTCGTTCCTTCCTTTTCCTTTCCCCTATGTTTTTCTTCCTTTGTTTGTCCTCCACTTTTTGCTTCCTTCCCTTTTCCTTCCTTTTTCTTTCTTCCTTCTTTCCTTCCGTTACTCCTTCTCTTTACCTCTCATCCTCATCCCTCCAGACTTTTTTAATTCCCTAGCACCTCTCTTTCCTTCACTCCCTTCTTTCCTCGCTCCCCTCCCCTCGTGTTTTCCTTATTCATTTCATGAATGCACCGGCCAAGCATACAAGTTTATTCCCTTTAGTTCTCCCCGGTATAGGCCTTATCACAAGAAAACTAAAGGAATTGGCATGAAAATCCATTCTGGGTGAGTTATTCTTCACCCATTATGGGCTAACCAGGAGGTGCGGTACCCTCTGTGGTTGAGCACTGTCCCCTGACACATTGGCTAATGCTAATCTGACCAAAGCTATCTCTTGTCACCTTGGTGGTCATCCTTATGTGCCAGGCTGAAGGAGGCTATCCCTAATTCCTGTAACAGAACACCAATACCCTGAGGGCCTTTTTTACCCCCCTTCCAACCTGTTCCTGACATGTCCAGAGCTCAAATATTAGGTGACAATGGGCTGTGAAGGGTAATGGTCAGACTGATGAACTTTTTTTCATTGTTCCGTTACATGAATGCTCATGTTGCCCCAGCATGCTTATGGAGAATACATGTGGGTAGAGACCTCCTCTAATGAAGAATACATATGGGTAGAGGTCACCTCTAATGGAGAACACGTATGGGTAGAGGTCTCCTCTAATGGAGAACACGTATGGGTAGAGGTCTCCTCTAATGAAGAACACGTATGGGTAGACATCTCCTGTGGTTGCCTTATCTGGTAGCAAATGGTAGCGATTAGCAGGAAAAGTGATTCTTTTCCATAGTCTGGGAATGACTGGTTAGGAGATCCACAAGCAAGAGAATATTTTTCCAACATGGTCAACATAGACAAGATTGGGCAGCAAACATCTCACATCTGTGCATGCTAATGCTAATCTGACCAAAGCTATCTCTCGTGTCACCTTGGTGGTCATCCTTAGTATGTGCCAGGCTGAAGGAGGCTATCCTAATTCCCTTAACAGAACACCAATACCCTGAGAGCCTTTTCTAACCCTCTTCCAACCTGTTTCTGATAAGTCCAGAGCTCAAATATTAGGTAACAATGGGCTGTAAAGGGTATGGACAGACTGATGAACATTTTTTTTCATTGTTCCATTACATGCATGCTCATGCTGCCCCAGCATGCCTATGGAAAATACATGTGGGTAGAGACCTCCTCTAATGAAGA